ACAAAAGCTGCGCAACAAGAATCTGTGTCCTACCAACTTCCACCCCTATTAGGCTAGACTAATGGACGCTGTTCCTTGCGACTGAAGCAATCTGACTGCCCGATTTTGTGAAATTTTTTACGTACTACCCCCTATCCAACGCCTATTGCTAAGCACAAGCTTTTGAAAAAAGATCAAACTTGATGAGGTGAATTGTTTCTGACGGATTCCTCATAGCGAACGTGAGCAGTGAGGCGCGCTTCTCATTTTTTGTCATTAAATCAGCATTCTTGATAGCACCGCATATAGCAGATTTGCTGTCACCAATAATAATGAGCGAAAAAAGAAAAAATGTCACAGTAATGAAGGTTGATGCGCGAAAAGGAAGGTTATCGGTGATTTCACGTACCCTGTTCGCCGAATACTCTGTCGCATCCGTTGGAACATTTTCGGGTGTACCATTGTCGTCGTCGACAAAAGCCGAAACCGGGATCTTAAACACCTTTGTTGAATATGATCAAGAAAAGAAGCAGGCATGTCCAGAACCATCTCAAAAACATCATATTGGATGGCGCACACTCAGAGGATGAATACAGTAGATCAAAACAAGTAGAAAATAAAACTGCTAAGAAGATCGAAATCCATCAAACACATCAAAACTGATTTCAAAAATTGAGGATGGTTTATTAGTAAGTATTGAAGCATTGATGCTGCACAAAAATAAAACAGCTATCATATCTCCGAAGAATAATGTGATGAGGAAAAGACTCGAAGCTTACACTTCAGGAAGGCATTTGTGAGAGAAAAATGATGGAGACAGTCTGAGCGGAGGAATAACTTCTTTGAAAATTTTCATAAACACATTCATTACTCCAAAGTGGCAACATATAAGACGGCGAAACTCCGTCCAATATGTCGAGTCTTGAGTTTAGCATAATTTTTGTAATATTGCTTCTATGATAAGGTAACATAGTAGGTAAGAACATGAATCCTGGCTTTGTCCCAAAATACAGTACATGACAACAGCAAAGATATTTAGTCTATTCGTAACCCTTATATAAGTTCAATACTTAGCTGTATGTACGGAGCGGTTTCATAACAAAATGAAAACTACCAGGATATAACAAAAAATTCTGAGCGAATCAACAAAAAAATTAGAAGGAAAACGTCTTGGCAAGTTTTGTGCAAAAAAAAAGCAGAGCAGCTCTCAAACAGACCTTGATATTATAGACATGCACGTCGCCAGCAGCTATTGCCAACTGATGGGAATCAGCCAATGCAATGGGCGAAAACTTCAGATCGGTTACTGGGAACGCCAACTCGAGCCGTAATGAGACCACTCTCTGCCACTTTCTACAAGAAACGAAATAAAGGAGAAGCCAATTGGCAAATGAGCATGCCTTAGATTTTCGTTGTGCTCATAAATTACGATACGTTCATCATTTTCAGCTCGCTTGTCGTCTGATGCAACAGCCAGGAGCGGTCGATGTATTCGTGATCGACTCCATTCAACGCTACCACATCTTGTGTAGAAAGCCTTAAGAGACGATTAAACCTCTTTGTAAAGTCAAAAAGACATATTTCTCAGGCAGAAATCAGCGATAGGCTTTAAGAATACGAACTGAAAGTCAAAAATAGTCTGTGGTACACAAACCTGCAGCTCATGGCATAGAGACCACCTTGATAAGTCCATAACATCAGCTGCTTCATATATCCGCACAACGCCTTGCGCAGATACTGTTGCCTAAAACATGACTCTGATTCTTTTTTCGCTCTTGCAAGTAAAAAACAATCCGAGTAAAAATAGATAACCTACTTACGGCAAAGGGAAACCAACTTACAAGCATAAGTCCTAGATGTCGAGGC